CTTAATGTTATTTTCGTGGGGCATCTTGATTCCTTCAGTTCTCACTATTTTTCCTTGTTTGATAGTAAGTGTGTCACACTTGTCCAAGCCAAACTCCATTGCAATATCTTGGCTATATATACGGACAGTGTTGAGCAGCGATTCTATTTCAGATGATGTTTTTCCATACAGCTTCAGATCATCCATGTAAAGGAGGTGGGATAGTCTGGCAGATGTTTTACATGTTTGATAACCATGTCCTGACTTATTAAGTATTGTTGACAGAGGAAACAGTGCAGTAACAAATTATTATTATTATTATTATTATTATTATTATTATTATTATTATTATTATTATTATTATTATTATTATTATTATTATTATTATTATTATTATTATTATTATTATTATTATTACTCCTTCTGTCTTGTAATGTCTAAATGTGAGTCCACCCTATGGCTTTCTGGAGGAAATTCCTCCAGTGCATACTAAAAAAAACCCCATTGCACTGAGCCTCAATTATTGAATTTTGTCTCTTGTGTATGATTCCATAATGGGAATGGTCCTTAGAAATCACTGTTGCCTGCTCTAATGGCCAACTTTGTTGCAAGAAATTCTTTCCAATCCTTCAGAAATTGGAGTAATTGACTGAAAACCGCAGATAAGGCATCATGGCTTCTATCATTTTGTGGCTTCTCAAATGTCTTACATGTAAAGCAGGTTTTTCACCAAATGTCATGCTGTCATGTTTCCTGATTCAATAATTTAGTTAGGAAGTTCTGCATCCACAGGGGAGAGTGAATCTTCAAGCTCACCTTTGTAGGCCAGATAATTGCATCAGAGCGAATGGTGATATCCTGACCTGGGGGAGCCCCGGGATTTATTTGCCCAACTTTCAGAAGGACAACTGATCGATTGGGGAGACGAACCCAATTGAGAAGGTCATAACGAGCAGATCCCAGTCCTTTTTCTGAGAAGGAGATTTCCTCTCCAGCACTGTTATTGAAGTGGACATTCATCAAATAAGGAAGGAGCTGAAACAAAAGAGATCTTCAGAAATTGGAGTAATTGACTGAAAACCGCAGATAAGGCATCATGGCTTCTATCATTTTGTGGCTTCTCAGACACAAAATAGGTTATGTAGAAACCAAATACAGGGTCAATCAAAAAGGACTCAAATGACTATACACCAATGCACAATGTATGAAGATTTTTTTTTTCCTGCTTCAAGATGGTGCCGCCGACGGCAGCCTCAGTGCAATGCCCTCTGATAGGGTTTTGTTGTTTTTTAATTATTGTCTGTGGTTCACTTCATATTTCATATTCAAGAGATAAACTGTTAAGCAACAAGCAACATTTTTTTAATGGACATCTTTCTGCGACTATACGCCCCTCCCTCCTGTCTTTACAAATGTTGAGGAGATTCTGATCGAGGAAGGGGGACTGGATTAGGGGACTGGAGGCTAAAACATATAAGGAATGGTTGCTGGAATTGGGTATGTCTAGTTTAACAAACAGAAGGATGAGGGGGGACAGGATAGCAGCGTTCCAGTATCTCAGGGGCTGCCACAAAGAAGAGGGAGTCAAGCTATTTTCCAAGGCACCTGAAGGCAGGACGAGAAGCAACAGGTGGAAACTGATCAAGGAGAGAGGCAACTTGGAACTAAGGAGAAACTTCCTGACAGTTAGAACAATTAACCAGTGGAACAACCTGCCTCCAGAAGTGGTGAATGCTCCAACACTGGAAGTTTTTAAGAAGAGACTGGACAGCCGTTTGTCTGAAATGGTGTAGGGTTCCTGCCTGGGCAGGGGGTTGGACTCGATGACCTCCAAGGTCCCTTCCAACTTTATTATTATTATTATTATTATTATTATTATTATTATTATTATTATTATTATTATTATTATTATTATTATTATTAAGTGGCAGCTCTCTCCGAACAATGAAAAAAAAAACACACAAGGAGAAGACGACGATGATGAAGAAGGGGTAAGCGAGCAGGGATTTTGAATAGACTAATAGACTAAGGAAAAAATGGAATAAAAACCCTTCTTCCCTCACTCTTTTTGACTAATTTACATTCACTCGCTAATGAAATGGGTGAATTACTTCTTTTAAACAGATGCAACTCTGCTTTTTACAAATCAGCAGCCCTTGAAACCTGGCTAAATAAGTTGATTGATGATAGCAGCTTGCATATCCCAGAGTTTCCAATACAGAGGGCAGACAGAATTGCAGAACCATGTGGTAAAAAGAAGGGAGGGGGTCTCTGCTTTTATATCAACAACCGATGGTGTAAAAATGTAACTACACTGAAGAAATTATGTGATGTGCACTTAGAGACATTAACAATAACAATAACAATAACAATAACAATAACAACAACAACAACAACAACAATAACAATAACAATAACAATAACAATAACAATAATAATATAATAAAGTTGGAAGGGACCTTGGAGGTCATTGAGTCCAACCCCCTGCTTAAAAACTTCCAGTGTTGGAACATTCACCGCTTCTGGAGGCAGGTTGTTCCATTGGTTAATTGTCCTAACTGTCAGGAAGTTTCTCCTTAATTCTAAGTTGCTTCTCTCCTTGATCAGTTTCCATCTGTTGCTTCTTGTCCTGCCTTCAGGTGCCTTGGAAAATAGCTTGACTCCCTCTTCTTTGTGGCAGCCCCTGAGATCTTGGAAGACTGCTATCATGCCCCCCCCTCGTCCTTCTCTTCATTAAACTTTGTTGTTGTTAATTGCGAAGTCGTGTCCGACCCATCGCGACCCCATGGACAATGTTCCTCCAGGTCTTCCTGTCCTCTACCATCTTCTGGAGTCCATTTACGTTCACACCTACTGCTTCAGTGACTCCATCCAGCCACCTCATTCTCTGTCGTCCCCTTCTTCTATTGCCCTCGATCTTTCCCAGCATTAGGCCCTTCTCCAGTGAATCCTTCCTTCTCATTAGGTGGCCAAAGTATTTGAGTTTCAACTTCAGGATCTGGCCTTCTAAAGAGCAGTCAGGGCTGATCTCCTCTAGCACTGACCGGTTGGATCGCCTTGCAGTCCAGGGGACTCCCAGGAGTCTTCTCCAGCACCATAGTTCAAAGGCCTCAATTCTTTGGCGCTCAGCCTTTCTTATGGTCCAACTTTCACAGCCATGCATTGCAACTGGGAAAACCATGGCCTTGACTCTACGCACTTTTGTTGGCAGGGTGACGTCTCTGCTTTTTAGTATGCTGTCTAGATTTGCCATAGCTTTCCTCCCCAGGAGCAAGCGTCTTTTAATTTCTTGACTGCAGTCCCCATCTGAGGTGATCTTGGAGACCAGGAAAATAAAATCTGTCACTACCTCCATTTCTTTCCCATCTATTTGCCAGCTATTGAGAGGGCCGGATGCCATGATTTTGGTTTTCTTAATATTGAGTTTCATTAAACTAGACATACCCAATTCCAGCAACCATTCCTTATATGCTTTAGCCTCCAGTCCCCTAATCAACATTAATTATCTATTTTATTCTCCACAAGAGTTTGCCTCGTACATTCTTCCACAAGCTTGCATAAACAATGCATTGCAAACTCTAGTTTACCAGATTATGTAAGCTGAAAAAAGATATCCAGATTCACTCCTCATTGTATTAGGAGATTTCAACAGCTCTTAAGCCAAGAGCTACCAAGATATTTTCAGCATGTCAACTATCTTACTAGAGGCAAGAATACTTTAAACCACTGCTACATAACATTAAAAAAAATGCTTATCAGTTTTTACCATGAGCAGCTGTGGTACACTCTGGTCATTGTATTATTCACCTTGTACCAGCTTAAAACCATAAAACCAACAATTAAATCAGTGAAGCCTTGGACGGAGGAGGCAAAGCTACAGGCTTACCTTGACTGCACTGATTGGAAAAGTTTTTGAAGATACCTCTGCAGACTTGGATGAACTCACAGATACTGTAACATCATATGTTAGCTTTTGTAGCCCCCCCCCCCAGAGGGAGAGGTGATTGGGAAAATACTGGAATATGCAGAAATGAATAGACTAACAATGACGATTAAAGATAAGACAGAATCAGACTACTATGAAATCTGGGGAACTTTTTATGATTGGCTGAAAAGAGAATACGGTTAAAAGATAGTTAACATCAATTTAGATGGAAGAAGAAGGAGCAGATAAGGAGGGAGACCCAAGCGACACAGTATAGAATAACTGGAGGTTGTATAAATATTTATAGAAGTATATACCGAGAAGATTAGATAAATAGAAGTATTAATGTAAGAGAAAATTAATTTTATTGTATATAATACAGATAGGGAAATTTGGAGAGAGGAGTTGCTCGGACATTACCCCCAAATTGTATCTGAAGAGGGATGAGAGGGAAGAAAGGAGAGGAGAGAGAAAAGAGTAAAGGAGGGGAGAAGGAAGTAGGAAGGTTGGAGGAGAGAGTGGTGAAGGAAAGAGAAGAGGAGAGGAGAGGAAGAAGAGGGAAGTAGGGAGGAAAGAGAAGAAAGGGAGAAAGAAGGTAGAGAAGAAGGAGTGTAGATGCAGTGAAAGGGGAAATGGGCGAGCAACACCAAAAGTCATGTGTATGTATTTATTTCATTAAAAGTATCTTATATATAAGAATGTAAAAAGAATGTATGTTAACATCTGATAAATATCACGGTATATGTATGGGGGAGAGTTTGGAAACATAAAAAAATAAAAAATATAAAAAATTATAATTAAAAAAAATATATGTTAGCTTTTGTGAAGATCTATGTGTGCTAACCTGGAACTTGTGAATATACAGTAACAATAAGCCTTGGTTCACAGCTTAACTCAAGCAGCTACGTCATGCCAAAGAGGAAGCCCACAGGAAAGGAGATAGAATGCTGTACAATCAGGCCAGAAATGTATTAACAAGATCAGAACAGCAAAAAGAAGCTACTCTGAAAAGTGGAGGAACCAGCTCTCAATAAATGAACCAGTAAATGTGTGGAAAACTCTTAACAACGTCACTGGTTATAGCAAACCACCTTTCCATGCTGAAGGGAATTGACAACTGGCAGATGACCTGAATGCATTTTACTGTAGGTTTGAGAAGAAACCACTATCAACTGTTACCACCATCTCCATCTCAGATACACCATAACAACCATGCCTTCTACAACTGACTCCATCCCCTTGGCCCTCCCACCTCTGGTGATCACAGAAAATGATGTGCGAGGACTATTTCATAGACAAAAGCCTGGAAAAGCCTGCTGACCAACTGGTCCCTATCTTCACCCACATCTTTAATAAATCACTAGAGATGTGTTGTGTTCCTTCTTGCTTCAAATGCTCTACTATGATCCCAGTGCTGAAGAAACCCTCCATCAAGGAACTAAATGACTACAAACTGGTTGCTCTGACATCCATAGTTAACGAAAACCTTTGAAAAGCTAGTGCTGGCCCATCACAGATCCGCTCTTAGACCTCCTGCAATTTGCCTACTGAACAAATAGATCAGCAGATGATGCTGTTAATATGGCTCTGCACTTCATCCTACAAATCTTGAATCTCCAAAGACCTATGCAAGGGTCCTCTTTGTAGACTTTAGCTCAGGTGTGCAGCTAACGAGTAGGCTGACTTGGTCGCTCAACAGTGAGAAACTGGTGAAGCGGGCACAGCAGCGCCTGCATTTTCTGCGCCGCATGAGAAAAGCACATCTTCCTTCCCCTGTCCTGACCACTTTCTACAGGGGGGCAATCGAGAGCATCCTGTCACACAGCATCACAGTCTGGTTTGGAGGCATCACTGCTTCAGACAGGAAGGTGGTGCAGAGAGTGGTGAGAATGGCCGAAAAGATCATTGGCGATTCCCTCCCTCCCATCCAGGACATAGCACAGAAGCGCTGCTTGAGCAGGGTCCGTAAGATTATCTGGGACACCACCCATCCTCTTCTCGATCTGTTTTCCTTGTTACCTTCTGGGAGGAGGCTTCATAGTATCCGTGGCAGAACATCCAGATTCAGCCATAGTTTCATTCCATTCAGCATTAATCTTGCGAACTCTCAAGCTTCCTCCTTCCGTAATATATTCAAGATGGACAATATGTAATATTTATTGCTACGTATATGTAGGAATGTGGGTCTATACATATGTTGTTCATAGTATGTTTAGGTGGTATTTCACTTTGAGAGCGGGCAAATAAATTTCATTTTTGATGTGTGCCATTGTGCCCACAGTATAAAAATGACAACAAAGGTTATCTTATCTATCTATCTTATCATTCAATACCATCATTCCAGATATTCTTCTTACTAAACTAACTCAGCTAACTGTGCCTGGCCACAATTGTAAGTGGATCATAAGCTTTCTAACAGACAGGAAGCAACAGGTGAAGCTAGGCAAAATCACATCAGATAGCTGTACAATTAGCACAAACCCCACCCCCACCCCCAGGGCTGTATGCTCTCTACACTTTTCTTTTTTTTTATACCAATGACTGCATCTCAAAGTACTGAATTAAAGTACTGAAGTTTCCAGATGGTACAACAATGATTGGTTTGAGACAATGACAAATCTGCATACAGATGGGAAATTGAACAACTAGCCTTATGATGTGGCCGAAACAATCTTAAACTGGTTTGCAGTTCTTCTTCTTTTTTCCCTCTGCCCCCTTTCAACAAATCATTGTACTTAATTCAGATTATTTTTTCAATAATTTCTGTTTTAATCTGTTCTGAAGTACATTGATATAGTAGCATACAGATATTTAATGAATGTTTCAAATATTACAGATGGGAAGTTTCCTCTCTAAGATCTATGGACTGAATAAAAAGTGTTAGAGATCACCTGCCAGGACTGAACACTAGAGATACTCTTTCCAAACTTCATCATGGCTGGTCGTGATCCAGATCCATACAGTGCATGTAAAGCATGTGCCAGAGCATAAATGGCATTGTAGATATTGTAACTTTCACCAGTCATGCTTGTTTGAAATATGTAGGTTGGCAGATTCCGTAAATTCTCTTTTCCTGTACAATATTTCTTCCATTTTACAAAATAGTCACCTGGTTTGTGGAATTCACAGCCAAAGACCCTTTCCCACCACAGTGGGAGAATCATATCTCTTTGTGGATTCAAAGGGTCTAAAGAGAGGAGGAAATTGCTGAATTCTGAGATAATACCACTGTGATCCCTAAAATGCAGAGACCCATGCAAGTGCTTAAAAAGGTGCCAACTATGTCGAAAATCATTTGCATGTGGTTTCCAATAGGAAGTTAGGATCCAAACTTTCTCACTTGGTCTCCTTTCATTAAATACATAAACGTTCATAGCCCAGAGAAATTTTTTAACAATTTCAGATTCTCCGAATGAAAGAATGATTTCAATATTAGCCCATATTTTTGAATGTAAAGTGAATTTGTACACTTCCGCATTAGAAGCGTCATGTTTTACTATTTGAGTGAAGGCCAGGCAGATATCCTTCTCCAGGAGCATTGGCCTCAGAGTTGAGAGGAATCGTTCTCCGTTCTCATTTTCAGAGACAATAAGCCCAACCCAGTTCCACTGGAAGTATAGGAGCAGTTGGACTAAACCCACAAATTGAGGAAATTCCTTGGGATTAATCCGGAAGGAGGAAGGATAAACTCTTCGATCTCCCTGAATGAACTCAAAGCCAATACTGAGCTGGAAAAAGAGAGAATCTTCTTTAAATGACAAGAGTAAAGATTGTTGGTGACTTTGGGGGTCCCAGTTGTGTAGTTTATTGACCCCGTCAGTCAAACTGATTCATTTTGATAGATAAAAGAGCCAGCAATTAACATATTTTCCCAGTCATGACATGACAGAATCCAAGGAAACAAATCACCAGTTTGTGCAGGAATTAAACTACAATGAAAGAATGGCTACCATTTTATGAATAAAAAAGTTCGGAAGGAGTTCTTCTTGGCAAGTACAGAAATATTACACTATGTCTCTCTTAGAGGTTATATAAAAGATATCTTGACACATGAAAAATGAATCCAACTGTAGTACCAATTGTCTAAGTCAGGGGCGTCAAACTGCCGGCCCGTGGGCTGAATGTGTCGTGTGGAACCCGTGCCCACCCTAGCTCTGGCAATGGAAAGTAACGATATGTCGTGACACTTCACATGACACTGTGAGTTTGACCCCCTCTGTTCTAGGTCATATGCTATTGATGTCCCCCCCCCCCCCGTCTTTTGGTGTCATCTTGGACTTCTGTGTTCACTTCTATAGTTTGTTTACTCCATCACTGTATCTAAAGGAGCCTCCATACCTGTGGGACCTTGAAGATGCTGAAGATGGAGGCCATCTGCATTGAGAATTGGGGGTTGTCACCTCCAATGACAGAGAAGAGAATGTCCTGCTGGTCACATTTATAACCTGGAACCATTTGGCCACGTGTAGAGAGCAGAAAGAGGCTGGTTAAAGAAACCCTCTTCTTCCAATAGCCATTGTCATACATGTTGAAGCCAAGAGTAACATTGGGGAGGAGTACCAGATCCTTATTGATCTCTGTCACTGCAAATACCAAGGCCATGAACAGCTGGTAGTTGTTGGGTGTGGGTCTATAGTGAGAGAAACATTGTGAAACATTACAGCAACACTTGTCTTGTCTTTTTAATGTTTTTTTTAAAAAAGATGTTTCTTGATTAAACTTGGATGGATTTTTGAGAAAGGAAAAAAGCCTGTCTACCCATATCATGCACCATTTCATGTCCCTCTATCATCCCTCCTGTCTTCATGTTGCTTCTGTGGTTATCATCCTTCCCAATTTCTCCTCTATAACCTAATCAATTTTCTTCTCTTTGAAGCAGCTTCTTCAAGATAGGTAACCTTTGCTGAGCACAAGACTTGAGTGAGGTCACAGGAAATATTTACTGAGGGCCATCATCATCATCATCATCATCATCATCATCATCATCATCATCATCATCATCATCGTAGTAGTAGTAGTAGTAGTAAAGTTGGAAGGGACCTTGGAGGTCATCTAGTCCAACCCCCTGCTAAGGTAGGAAACCCTATACCATTTCAGACAAATGGCTGTCCAGTCTCTTCTTAAAAACTTCCAGTGTTGGAGCATTCACCACTTCTGGAGGCAGGTGGTTCCACTGGTTAATTGTTCTAACTGTCAGGAAGTTTCTCCTTAGTTCTAGGTTGCTTCTCTCCTTTATTAGTTTCCATCCATTGCTTCTTGTCCTGCCTTCAGGCACCTTGGAAAATAGCTTGACTCCCTCTTCTTTGTGGCAGCCCCTGAGATATTGGAACACTGCTATCATGTCCCCCTCGTCCTTCTCTTCATTAAACTAGACATACCCAATTCCATCAACCTTTTCTTATATGCTTTAGTCTCCAGTCCCCTAATCATCTTTGTTGCTCTTCTCTGTACTCTTTCTAGAGTCTCAACATCTTTTTTACATTGTGATGACCAAAACTTAAGGTGACCAACCGTCCTCCTTTAGGGAGGACAGTCCTCCTTTTGTGAGTTCTATCCTCCCTCGAAAAGTGTCCTCCCTCATGTCCTCCTTTTCAATATTTGAAGACTAATCTGCAGGGCTTTTTTTTTTTCATAGAACGCTCAGAATGGCGTTCCGGCACCTTTTTTTGATGGTTTTTTTTCAACTTTTGCATGAGCTGTGCTACTCCCACTATTGACTTTCGAAAGCCAATAGGAATTGCTGCTGAGCACGCCCAAGCACCCAGCTAGCAAACTTTGCACATGCAAGTTGTCTGTATTATTGTTGCAATGAATAAAATGTTTCTTTTATTTACGATATTTTTTTCTTCAATTTATTTGTGTCCTCCTTTTCATTGTAAAAAAGTTGGTCACCTTACAAAACTGGATGCAGTATTCCAAATGTGGCCTTACCAAGGCATTGTAAAGTGGTATTAATACTTCACATGATCTTGATTCTATCCCTCTGTTAATGCAGCCCATCACTGTGTTGGCCTTTTTGGCAGCTGCAGCACATTGATGGCTCATATTTAAGTGATTGTCTACTAGGACTCCGAGGTCCCTCTCACAGTTACTACTATTGAGCAAGGTACCCCCTATTCATAAGCATTTGTGTTCCAAAACTGAGTGTTGAGTTTTTGCAGTATCCCATGCTGGAAAAGCTTTGAACTGTTACTTGAGATTTCAATCATGACTTTCTGTCCAAATTAACAGTGTAAGTCATCTTCTCCATTAGGCTAGTAAACTTCCTAAAATAATGTCCCTCCTCTCTCTTTATGTTGTTTATCATCTTCCTGATGAAGAGTTCTAGAAAGATAAACTACCCTATTTAACTAGCCAGTTTGGCTCTTTATTGAGAAAAGCACAAAGATTTGAACTACAAGAGAAACTGAAACATAATGAGAATAAATATTTCTGAGCAAACACATCAAACAATGACCTAGAGATTTGTCCTCCAGGTAAAACTTACAAATAGGGGAGAGAAAATGGGTATGGGTCTCTGTTAAAGTCTAAGAAAGTTTGCCAATAGTTCCCCAAGGGCAAATTCCCACCAATAATGGGATCACCAGGCCTGTAGTAGTGTTCCTGAATCTTGTAATGTTGTGGCAACACACAAAGGGTTTGCATCCTCTTAGCAGTAACTGGATGAAGGAGCCAGAAGAGCAGGAGCATCAACAGGAGAGGCAGCCCAGTCATTCTTGTCACCTTCCCTCCTAGATCAGAAATGAAGGTTTCACTTTAAATTTCACCAGAGCTTTAACAGGATAAACACAGGGCATGCCACCTGGATGGCTTCAGGGCAAATATATCAAATATGCTTCCTCTTACCTGTGTTTGGGCTGCGACCAAAGAGAAAATGAAGGGCAGCTCAGTCTCATCAAATCCAGGAGTTAGCTCTTTGCAAGACAAGGGGACGTGACATGTCCTGCCCCCACCTGGACAAATCCAAGCATATTTTTTAAAGCAGGTTTTGTCTTGAAATATTTTTGTGGCTTGAAATCCTCAGGGGACACGTTAACAACTACTGGTCTTCTGATAACTGCAAGGGAAAGTAATTGTCCCACCCACTTAGCACTCCATTGTGTTTGTGCACCAGAAAGGGAAAAACATGTATGTGTCTCTTGTTGCTAATCCACAGAGCTGTTGGACTTGAGAGTCAAAGTGAATTTGGATAATTGACCTACATGAAACTGAGAACCTGCACACAAGGTGGAGTTTGGCCTGATCCATAGTTTGTTCAGATAGCATGAGTGCTAATGGGCCATGGTGGCACATGACAGTCAGTTGCACTCTAGCAAGTGTGAGTAATCAAACCAATGTTTGGATGGAAGAGCTGGTTTATTTATCCCCCACATGGCAGGGGATGAAAACTTAGTTTCTAACTTCTCCAATGGTTTGTAACAAGAGGCAGGCAGATTTCTCAAGATGTCAGGCTTCCTTAAACTCTACAGGAATGTTGTCTAAAAACTAGGTAGAGCCAGAAAAGTTTGTCTGTTGTGTATTTCTTATGAAGTGGGCTTTCTTCATTGTTGACTGTTGTGGGAAAGATACCATCATTCATCATAAATCTCTGGACTGGATGGGGTAACAAGAATGGATGCACAGTGTGGAATCAAACAGGGGACCCAAAGCAAATAATCAAGGTTTTTGATTAACCAGCATGTGCTTGCAAGACTTCTTCCAAATACTGAGAGAGACCCCACTCAATTAAAGGATACACTGATATTTATACATCTAAGAAAGGCAGGGGAGACTAATGCATAAGCAACATATAATGCAAGCACACACATTCATGGTCAGTTATTTACTATAAGTAACTCTATTACTGTAAGTAATAGTAACTTATATAATAATAACATAGCTTACATCCAGCATAGAAGAGATTGGACAACAATTTGTCTGAAATTGTATAGGGTTTCCTGTCTAAGCAGGGAGTTGGACTAGAAGACCTCCAAGGTCCCTACCAACTCTGTTTATTCCTATTCCATTCCATTCCATTCTATTCCACTACACTACACTACACTACACTACACTACACTACACTACACTACACTACACTACACTACACTACACTATACTACACTATACTATACTATACTGTAGGTTTTTCTTCAGAAACCCAAAGTGAGGAATAATGCAATAAAACAATAGGGCAAGAAAGAAAAGATTTCCCATAAATCAAGAGGAGGAAGCAGAATGCCGTACACCAAGTTTTTTTAAAAAAAAATCCATTGCAAATCCATGGGACTGTTGTACTGAGATAATAGTCTCTATATCTCAGTTTGATTTAATTCACTGCACTCAACTGAGAACTGATTTTTTGCCAGATAAGAGATATGCAATTTTTGTGGCCACTCTGTGCCACATTTCCTGGAAGAGATTCAGTCAAGTTAGTTTCTCTTGAGCTTCAGGAACATGGTAACAGTCTACTTGTTCTGTCCGGAAGAGGATGAGTTATAATTGAAGTGGAACGACTTGCCTCCAGATGTTGTGAATGCTCCAACAGTGGAAGTTTTTAAGAACAGATTGGTTGTGGTCTACTTGATGATTACTTTAGCATGGTAGAGCTATCTTCTTCTTCACTCAGACTGAACATAAATAGAATAATGAATCAATAGATTGGTTTTCCAGTCCCTCCGTCATGCCCTATATAATATTGGATCCCTAGTTTTAATTCAGAAACGAAATCAATGGCATATTTTTTTAGGCCTTTGTAAGCTCACATTGTCTATTTTCTTGAAATGAAAGAATTTAAATCCTATACAAATCATGTTTGGCTCCTTCATCAATGTGGGGCTGTTTACTGGGTGGGATGAGCAGATAATGTCAATATTATTTTAATAATAATAATAATAATAATAATAATAATAATAATAATAATAATAATAATAATAATAATAATAATAATAATAATAATAATAATAATAATAATAATCCCAAAACAATTGGAGCACCACTTGAACACCATTGGCATTGACAAATTCGCCATTAGTCAATTGCAAAAGGCGGCCTTACTAGGAACTGCTTCCATCCTGCGACGATATCTGTAATAACATCAAACATCCACATCTGCCTAGCCCAGGTCCTGGGTAAGGACTCGATAGGTAGACAAAAATGCCAAATCCAGTCTGAACATCTGGCTGACTGTGCGATGATTATTAATAATAATAATCCCCTGATAGTGACATGCAGTTAATTCAAGCTTTAACCTCACCCTTAAATCTCGTCTGTGTCAGTTGCTCTTCTCATTTTTACAAGCTTTCCAAAAACTGATAATGTCCAAAGTATATATTCCAAAGTATATCCGAAATGCATTCCTTAAATATTAGGAAGGAGAGGCATTTTTTGCATAAAATGATCCTCGGTGCTCTGTGCAACCAATTGCAAGATGACAAATTGCAGGTTTTTTAGGAATGTAACACAACAACACAGTATAATATATTTCCTTTCATTGGTGGATTGAGAGAGATATGGGTTTGAAACTGAAGCAAGGCAGTTTGGAGGGCAAAGACCAGATCAGAATAGATTACTTAAAGTCCTCAACTTACAAGAATTCATTTAGTGACTGTCTGAAGTTTCAAAAGCACTGAAAAATGTGACCCCCAACCACAAACCCCAGGCCGCAGCCTACTACTGGGCCATGGCCTCTTTTCAACCAGGCCACAGGACGGGGCACACATATGCATGTGCAGCTCGACTCATTTGAGCGACAGGCCAACACAAAAAAATTGTGTGCTCAGCTCAGACTTATACTAGCAACTGGCTGGCGCACACATGCATTTGCATGCAGCTCAATTTGCATTTCAGATGTGTGTGCATGCACAATGGCCTGCCACTCACATAGCCCGGTTCTCCTCTCCCCTCCCCAGATGGACCACCAAGCTGCAAGCCCGTTAGGGATTGCTCGTCTAGGACATCTGTGTGCATAGATAGTTTGGATAGATGACATGGGTGAATCTAGTAGTGTCCAGTACTTGGTGTGCCACTACATTTGGATCAGCTGTAGTTTCTAAGTAGTCCTCAAGGGCAGCCCAATGGGGAGGATGTTACATTACTCCAAATGGGAATTGACCAACTCATGACTGATTCTCAGCAGAGCCACAAGTCCAGAATATGGCACAATTGGACCATATTCCTTGCATCTCCAGCTGGTGGGGTCCAGGAGAAGCGCCTTCTCTGCGGTGGTTCCTACAGAATAGGATAGGATAGGATAGGATAGGATAGGATAGGATAGGATAGGATGGGATGGGATGGGATGGGATGGGATGGCATGGCATGGGATGGCATGGGATGGCATGGGATGGCATGGGATGGGAGAGGAGAGGAGAGGATCAGAGTTGTAGGTCATCTAGTCCCACCCCAGCCCAAGCAGGAGTCTCTACACCATTTCTGACAGATGACAGTCCAATCTCTTCTTGAAAGCCTCCAGTGATGAAGCACCAACAACATCTGAAGGCAATTTCTGTTCCATTGATTGATTGTTCTCACTGTCAGGAAATTTCTCCTTATTTCCAGGTTGAATCTCTCCTTGATCACTTTCCATCCTTTGTTGATCTTACCCCTTAAGGAGAAATTGCCTCCCACCCTTCTGACCTTCTGCAGAACCTAAAGACCTGATTCTGCCACATAACGTGGGGCCCAAATGGGGGAGCATCACACTGGAGGTATGATGTATTAAGAGGCAGTCCCAATTCCCTGTCCCCATGCATCCTGTCCATTCCCTCCCCATCTTTTAACTATAATTTTATTTGGATTGTGATTTTCTGTTTTATTGTTTTAGAAATCTGTTAACATTTTAATGTTTTAATACTGTAAGCCACCCAGCTTCATTTTGATATGAGAGAGGCACCAAATATTTTTAATACATAAATGCATTAACAGAGGGATAGTATCAAGATCATGTGAAGTCTTAATACTGCTTTAAAAGGCCTTGGTAAGGCCACACTTGGAATACTGCATCCAGTTTTGGTCACCACAATGTAAAAAAGATGTTGAGGCTCTAGAAAGAGTACAGAGAAGAGCAACAAAGATGATTAGGGGACTGGAGGCTAAAACATATAAGGAAAGGCTGCTGGAATTGGGTATTCTAGTTTAATGAAGAGAAGGACGAGAGGTGATGTGATAGCAGTGTTCCAACATCTCAGGGGCTGCCACAAAGAAGAGGGAGTCAAGCTATTTTCCAAAGCACCTGAAGGCAGGACGAGAAGCAACGGATGGAAGCTAATCAAGGAGAGAAGCAACCTAGAAATAAGGAGAAATTTCCTGACAGTGAGAACAATTAACCAGTGGAACAACCTTCCTCCAGAAGTTGTGAATGCTCCAACACTGCAAAACCATTTGACTGAAATGGTATAGGGTTTCCTGCCTGAGCAGGGGGTTGGACTAGAAGACCTCCAAGGTCCCTTCCAACTTTATCATTATTATTATATTATTAAATACCCAAATGAGTAGTTTTGAATAGAATTGGATTATTGTGCGTTTATTTCCTAGATTAGCTTTGGGAAGTCCTGGGGGGGAGGGGGGAAAGGGGTAGGTTTGTATTATAGATTTATATGTATGATTTTTTTAAGGAGATGTCCGGTGGTGCCCCGACTGCACAAGACGGGATGGTTGAGTGAGGAAGGGAGGTAGGAAAGAGGGAGGAAGGAGGAGTGGTGGTAGGTTGGGAGGAGGAAGGTGTGGTAAGTGGAAGAGGGCGGTGCAGGGGGGGGGACACCGGACACGTCCGTGAATGTATTGATTAGCGTTATTTTCTTTGGTTGATATTGTGATAAAAGATCTATGTTTTTGTTTTTAATTGAAAAATTAATAAAAAAAATTATTAAAAAAAAAATTAAATACCCAACTTCATCTTGACTCTAAAGTCTGTATGAACTGAGGATTAACAAGCGACACAAGGATATTTTTCCCTTCTGGTATACAAACGAAACCCAGTGCTAAGCAGATAGGAAAATTGCATTTCCTTGCAATTATCATAAGAACAGTACTTCTTAATGTATACCCTTGAGGATTTCTACCCAGAAAAGACTTCCGAGAGAAAATCTGCTTTTAAAAAAATATGCTTTGACTTCTCCCTGTAGGAGAAAGACATGCCAGTTTACCTTGTCTTACAAAGAGCAAACTCTTGGGTTGGAGAGACACAGCTGGCAGTTTTCTCTTTCATCACAGCCATTGTTAACTAGACAGGACAATTGCTTTTCCTCGCAATTAGAAGAACAATAATTCTCAATGTATTTCCTACGGATTTCTGCCCACAAAAATCTTCCAAGATAACATCTGCTTTTAAAAATATGCTTTGAGTCCTGCAGGTGGAGGCAAAACATCTCACCATCTCTTGTCTTGCAAACAACTAATTCCTGACCAGACTCATCTGGTCTAGTTTTCTCTTCACAGTCACAGGACAAACACGGATAAGATAAAAGCATGAATTATATAAATTTGCCCCAAGGCCAGGTGGCATGGCTCTGGTGAAATTTAAAGTGATGCCTGCACAATCTTGATTTCTGATCTAGCAGGGAAGGTGAGAAGAATGACTGGGCTGCCTCTCCTCCTGCTGCTGGTGCTCTTCTGGCTCCTACCTCCAACTTCTGAGAAGAAGAAACATCGTAAATGTGTCTCAAAAAAACATTTCAACCTTCCCAGATACTATTACAAGCCTGGCGATCTCATTATTGGTGGGAATTTACATCTGCAAAACTTTCTTCCTTTTAAGAAACCAGACTTTCAAACACACCCACAGAAACTTCCTGTTTATACTTCGTAAGTTTCATCTGGAGAAGAATAGAAATAGAAATAGAAATAGAAATAATAGAAATAGAAATAGAACCTTGGAGGTCTTCTAGTCCATCCCCCTGCTCAAGCAGGAGACCCCTTACCATTTCAGATAAGTGATTGTCCAATCTCTTCTTAAAAACCTTCAGTGATGAAGCACCCACAACTTCTGGTGGCAAGCCGTTCCACTGGTTAATTGTCCTCACTGTTAGGAACTTTCTCCTTAATTCCAGGTTGCTTCTCTCGTTGGTCAGTTTCCAACCATTGTTGTTTGGTTTGCTTTGCTTTAGATTTAGGGACACTTTTTCTTAAATGATTGTTCTAGTGATCTTTGCAATGTCCAAGTGTAATTCAAATCTTTGTGCTTTTCTTAATAAAAAGCCAGGCTCGTAGACTGGCTGGATCTCTTTCCAAAACTCTTCATCAGGAAGATGATAAGCAACAAAATTTAAGAAGAGACAACACATTAGAAATTCTGCCCAGAGTAGAACTTCATTTGTAACGTTAATTTGGATTGAAAGTCAAATTGGAAAACTCAAAATTCAGCCCTTTTAGAATGTGGGGTAAAATTTCAGTTTTGCAGTCTGCATTGTTCATGAATGGAGTTTAATCAATCAATCAGAAAAAAGCTGGAAGGGACCTCGGAGGTCTTCTAGTCTGACCCCCTGCTCAAGCAGGAGACCCCGTACCATTTCAGACAAGTGACTGTCCTATCTCTTTTTTTAAGAACAGGTTTTTAAAAACCTCCAGTGATGAAGCACCCACAACTTCTGGTGGCAAGCTGTTCCACTGGTTAATTGTCCTCACTGTTAGGAACTTTCTCCTTAATTCCAGTTTGCTTCTCTCCTTGATTAGTTTCCACTAATCTTTCAGAACTCTTGGTCAGAAAAATGATAAAAGTTTATATAAAGTGAGGAGGAACAACACATAAGAAACTGTGCTGGCTTAGTGAAGATTTTGAGATGTAATATTAATTTGGAGAGAAAGTCATGGTAGAAAATTCAAAGAAACCTTTTGTCCTTTCCAGTGAGAGCTAGTGTAAAAATATAAAAATAAAACTTAGTCTTGAAATCAACGGGGTTCATGAATAATAGAGCTCATGAATAATAGCCTGAAGTAAATCAATGCTATAACCCCCACTGGAGTCTTACTCTATGCTTCAGTCCTGAAGTATCTGCTCAACCAAATTGATTAGATTAGATTAGATTAGATTAGATTAGATTAGATTAGATTAGATTAGATTAGATAACCTTTATTGTCATTTTTTTCCCCTGTGGGCACAATGGCACACATTAAAAATGAAATTTAGTTGCTTGGTCTCAAGTGTACACATACATAACACACACTTAAAACATACTATATACAACATATGTATAGACCTACATCCTTACATATAAGTAACATATAAATATTATATAAATATTAATCACTGATTAGGCTGCTAGTGGAGCAATAGGGAAAGATTACAGCCACTGGAAAAAAGTGAAGGAGGGAGGAACAATAGAAGAATATACAGTACATTCAATAAATATTCAGACCCCCCCTTCACTTTTGTCAATTTTGTTATGCTGCAGCCTGATTCTACAGTGGTTGAAATTCATTTTTTTTCTCATTAGTCTACACTCAGTACCCTATAAGCACTTTTGGCAGCAATTACAGCCTCATGTCTTTTGGGGTCTGATGCAATAAACTTTGCAAACCTGGATTGGGGGATTCTCTGCCATTCTTCCTTGCAAATCCTTTCAAGCTCAGTCAAGTTGTTTTCCCCTTTTCCTTATGGGGTCCTGCCTGTAGATTAATGAGGAAAAAAATGAATTCCAACAACTGTAGAATCAGGCTGCAGCGTAACAAAATTGACAAAAGTGAAGGGGGTCTGAATACTTTCTGAATGCATTGTATGTTTTGATCCATGATATAATAATAATAATAATAATAATAATAATAATAATAATAATAATAATAATAATAATAATAATAA